AGTCGCTAGTCTTGTATAAAGTAAAAAATCACCCTTGAAAGTGAAATAATTGCTTTTATGCAATATGAAGTCGGTGCAAGATTTTATAAAAAATAATTTATAAATTCCAAGTTTATGTAAATACCTATTCGAAAATAGGGGACTGGGAAGGCTGTTTTCGATGAGACTCAACGTTAGTAATAATAAAAATAAATACCTATCGCAGGCAAAAAAAAAACTATACATAAAGATGTATAATTAAATAATTAAAAATAAGTAGCAATAACAGTTAAAATTAAATACAATTATTATTATAGAATAATAAAGTCATTTTATGTTCTCTCGTTGATGAACTGTGTTGATGGCTAGTATGAAAAAATTGCACAATGAAATGACAAAGTCCATCGTATGTTTATTTAAATCTCCAAGTATTAGGTATTTGCATCTTATGTCTCAAGCAGACTGTGTAATATTACACATATAGGAGAACACCAGTATATTCCTGTTTTTTAGGTCCGTCAAAAGCATATTTTACTTATGATCTTTATTTAAATATGGCGGAGAAGGATAAAATAGAAAAAAAATCCATGTCGACATTAATAATGCGAAAGGATTATTAGGAGCTACATCATTTGACAACACGTTTGGCTCAGTTTGTAGTGACCCTACTTGCTGTGCCAGCGGTCGCGGGTTCGAGTCCCGCTGTCCGATGTAACATGTCAGCATGTAGGTTCTCACGCTGGACGTCAAGATCACGCTGTTTTAGGCATATTGTCAAACCTTTTATACGTACAGCTTATTTGTCAACTATACGCAGAATAGAGAAATTTATTTATTTATTATTGCTCATTACACATTTGTTATAAACTTAATGATTTGCATCTTTAAGTTTCATCTGAACGGGTGCGCAACTTAGACCAGCTTGGCAACTGGCTTCCCTCAAGGCGGCGGATCCCATACATACATCAATCTATGTGTTCAATATAACAATGAATTTACAGTGCTAATGGGGTTGCCACGTTATTATAGTGCATCAGACATGTTTGTTGAAGCTCGTACTGACAGCTTTAGTACAATCATGCAGAAGCGATGTGCCTCCATGGTGCAGCGCATGCGTGACAGTACCAATGCCATCCTAAGTGCATTAGCAGACCGCTGGGACTCGCCAACTCTTGGGCGAAATTATTTGTTAGATCTATAAATATGTTTTATTATTTTACTATTAAATTGAATTTATTAATTATTTACTATGGATAATTGATCTGAAATAAATTATTATTAGTATTATTTAAAGTTACAAATTAAAAAAAATATGGCTAACATACACTTGCCCGGCCATATTGGCGTTTTACTCGTGCTAATTTTTGATAACAGACATTTTATAATTTATGGAGATTTACATTTACGTCAACTGTTTATTAATCTCACCAAGGTCACTCAAGGCAAGTGCATAAATATATAATTGAACTTTTCCTTTGTTTTTCATGACAATGTCGTGTAATTATAGAAATAAATATATGACGCCGACATTTTTAATTGAAGTATATAAAAGCAACAAAAACCAACAAACAATATAGTTAATTAATTAAATTTAAGATTTTTCCAACATCAAATATAATAATAAATAAATATCTCGTGTCACCGTGTTTGAGGTCCCACTCCTCCGAAGCGGCTCGACCGATTTTAATGATTATTTTTTTAGTATATTTGATAGGTTTGAGAGTAGATCATAAAGTATTTTTCACGCTCCAATCTCGTTCATTTTTTAATCAAGAGTTTAGTTTTTTGTACGAACAGTATTATATAAATAAGTACATAATACAACATGAAGTAAAAGAGTTTTTTGTAGATTGAACGCGGGCGTAGTCACGGGTTCTGCTAGTAATTTATAGAAATTAAATAAAAAAATAAAACAATAAAAAAAAATAACGTCAACAAAACTTATTTTAATTATTTTATACCATTTATTATAGTAGTAGTACTTTATCAAAAGCATTATTATTTTTCATTATTACTTTAGTACACTTTTTATACTATTTAGGCACTGTTCTGCTGCATTTGAAGTGCTATCATTTTGATAATCTTTTCTTATTATCTAGGTACTTAACGATTAAAACATATGTTACTGCAATCAACAAGGAAAACCAAAATCAACCATGTGAAACCGGGTTACGGCACTAGTTGTTAATATAGCTAGCATTGCCCGCGGCTCCGCCCGCGTTCAGATGACCAAAAACCAAATTCTTAGGTTTTACATATTAGTATACTCTTACATTGCAGTTTTTGTATCTTTTCTCAGAAATGAGACATTTTCCCGCGGCAAAATCCTATATGTTGACCCGGGTGACCAGCTATCACCATACTAAATTTCATTAAAATCCCTCCAGTGGTTTTCCGTGATGCGATAACAGCCAGACAGACAGACAAAAATTCTAAAAACTATAGATTCGGCCTCTGTATCGATAATAATGTTTATTTCAATAAGATTTTCCAAAAAATATTTAATGTACAGATTCGGCATAGTTGCAATTTTATTATATGTATATCTATGATAAATTTATTAAGAATATTAATATGATATATTTATAGGTAATTATTAATATGATATATTTATGATAAAGACATACTCTATTATAATCTATTCATATGTTTTTGTTAACTGTGGTTAACATTAATTGAAGAAGGCTATATTTTTGCAACATCATGATACAAACAGTAGAAGTGGAGCAATATTATACATCAATAAACTCTGCAGTAGACGCACAACTATTGCATGCCAATGTTATTAATTATAATAATATTAAAAAGAAAGATTTAAACAACCCTTATAAAACATCCCCCATCCCTATCGCAAAATGGCGCCCCAGGTTTCTCTGGAAAGGGAAAAAGCTCAGTTGCGTCAAAGCTGTCACTACGACAGCAAGTGTTTTAGTTAACATAAATACAATATGTATAAATTATTTATGGATATGTTGTGATGATTTCGGAATATAAGTTAGTAAGATTTTTTACTATTATAATTACAATTATATTGATAAATTATAATTCAAACAATTGTATACTCTTTAGTGGAATTATTTTAGCATAACCAATTGTAGACGGTGAAATAAATATTAATTGAAGTAATATTGTTTTGAGTTGGATAATTTTGCTTTTGTTTTTTATTTTATTCAATTTTTTCTCGTTAATGTGCCTTAAATGCTTATTTTGTAGAGTCATTGACGGCTTCTGTGAAACAATGCAGTAAAGCTTAGCGTTTTTCACTCTATTGATGGAGGCAGCTGGCAGTTTTTTATAAGTTTTTTGGCATCTTAATATATTTTAAAATAACAACATTTTGATATATTCTATATTCTACATAAACTATTAGGTAAACTACTATTCTATAAAAAAAACGTAAACATATTTATATACCATATATTTTTGTTGTACATTTGTTATGTATGTTTGTGACAGTTTTTTTAGAATTATATTTTATTAGAATTTATCTACAAATTAATTTCAAATAATACCAAAACGATACTATTATGTCATAAATAATTTCATTCGTTATTTTAGTTGATATCATAATATTTGTGTATATTATTTAATGCACAAATAGTTAATAAAAATATATATTTATACTAGCGACTCACCCTCGCTCCGCTAGGGTTCGTCCCTACTTACGTTTTAACGTTTAGTATAGATTTCTCAGAGACCAGATATTTTCTCACAGTGAAAAGTATCCTATATGTTGATCCGGGTAACCAGTTATCATCATACCAAATTTCATCAAAATCCCGAGGTCATAGACAGAGACAGACCGAAAGCTAAACAGACAAAAATTCTAAAAACTATAGATTCAGCCTCTGTATTGATAATAATGTCTATTTCAATAAGATTTCCCAAAAAATATTTTATATACAGGTTCGACCTAGTTACAATTTTATTATACGAGTAGTTATGTATAGATTATATACAGAAACTGACATGGACAAAGGTGGGCTTATCTCTATAAGAGATATTTATAATCATTAATTATTTCTCACACTTTTTCTCTCACTTTTCCCCGTCACATTCTCACATTTACATATTCTATTCTCATAAGAAGTATTTAATATAAATATAAGTAGACTGTGGTCTGGAGTGACGTATAGGCAACTGTTAGGTACTTAGGGGTAAAATGAGGCCAATACGTTGTACTTACTTCAGTGTGTGCAGGAGAACTAAACATACAAACTTACGAACTTTCGTATTTATTATAGTAGCCCGATTAACACAAATACTTTATTTTAAATGATGTTTCTATGAGATGAGAAAAATAGTTTTCAATCTAAATATTTGTAGGACAAGTTTGAAAAATATTTTAAAGCTATCAATAAAGATATCATAATTCAAGAGATATTTAACCTTCATTCATTGTTTGTGAAATGTTTAAGAAACTTTAAATCAACCGTTGTTATTAATGACATAATATAAAAGCAAACAATCATGATCACAGAGAAAAATGTCTACAATCTTAGTCTCTTCCGTCACCATGATTCCTGTAAAGAATTTCAAACGTGGGGAGTTAAAAATCAAATTAAATCGCAGAAAATCTTAATAGATAGTTTGATTTAAAATATTCAAATATTCGCTTAAATCTAAAAAAGTATAAGCAATGTATTAATCACGGTATATTGAAATAAAATAATAAATTAAACATTATAGCTGTTCTAATAGTGACCAATATTAGTGAGTACTAAGTACTAAGGCAGGCCCTAAATAATTTTATGCTATAGGTGTTAGGCATATCTCATATGAATTCCATTAGGTACTTAGATGTATCAATATATAATATAACTTAGTATAACTTTCCATAAACTATTATTTTCAGAATATCCCATAGATCCTTTTCGACTTAAACAATAGAGATTATATTCCAAAGTTTTTCATTATAATTTATATTTATTCGTTTCAGATATATTAAAAATCCTAGTCTACAATAAAATGCGGCGAAGCCTCTCATGACAACCGGAAGTGTTCACGCCAGCGGAAACAAGATGGCGCTCTCAAACAATTCATTCTCACAGACCTACCACCGCTTATTTGTTGAATTGGCAGGTAAATACTTGAAATACAGTTTAAGTTGTTTATTAATATATGTATATGATATTATTTAAATATTCTATACCCTAAATCGCCATCACGATTAAAACTAATGTTCTAAGAGCCTGTGAACGCCAGATTTTCGTTATTTTATAAAAGCTGAAAGTTTGTCAGCGTATGCTCCCAATGATCAACACACTTTCTTTGTGAAATTTTGGAGATACATAATATTTTTTTACCAATTAGCCTAAATGTATAGCCACTGAATTACATTCTAAGCAATCAAAATGTGGTTGCTTAGAATGTAATCAACAAGTGCGAGTCGGACTCGCGCACGAAGGGTTCCGTAGCATTATCGATTTTTTATTTGCATGGCAGCCTTCTTGAAAATCTTCATCTTGTTTTTTATTATTTGCTATTATAGCGGCAATAGAAATACGTACTCTGTGAAAATTTCAACTCTAACTATTACGGTTTATGAGATACATATCTCTGATAGACGGACGGATAGACGGACGGATGGACGGACAGTGGAGGCTTAGTAATTGGACTCCGTTAGCACCCTACGGGCACAGAATCCTAAAATTTTTTACACTGTTTTAAAATATTTTGGTAGCCTATATTTAAATACATATATATCTACATATTTTTATTTAATTATGTTTATGAATCTGGCTCAATTTAACTGTTCTCTGTTATAATAATTAACATAAGATAGTCTCTCTTGTAACTATGATATCAAAAATCATAAAGAAGTGAGAAAATTGATAAATAGTTTAAGTAAAACTGTCAAATCATGGTAATCTTAAAAAACAAACATTAAGTTTAAGTTGCCTGAAACGTACCTATTTAGAAGGTATTTAGTTTTACTCACTCTCGTTTCGTCCCTAGTTACTTTTTAACATTTACTATAGATTTCTCAGAGATGATATTCCATATATTTTACCCGCAGTAAAAAGTATCCTATATGTTGACCCGGATAACCAGCTATCATCATACCCATCAAAATCTGTCCAGCGGTTTTCTCGTGATGCGTTCCCAGACAGACAGATAAAAATTCTTAAAACTATAGATTGTCTGTATCGATAATAATGACTATTTCGATAATATTTCCTAAAAATATATTTAACGTACAGATACATATTTTTGGGGATTTAAACGAGCTTTTATTTTTATGTTTTATATTTTTCTTCAATATATAATTAATAATAATCTAATAGTTTTTAATATTATTAAAACAATTCCTTGAACGAGGAAATATTATAATTGATATGTCAATATGTAAATTTTCGAATCTTTTTAATTAATTTCACTCATATAATATCTCGCACAAAAGTGCTTGCTTGTTTGACATATTAGGAGCTCAGAGTCAGGACTAAAATTTTGAATTCGTCTGTTTTAGGGGTTAAATAGCCAGTTAAATTTATATGTAAATTTATATTTAAGCTTCTTACTGATATTTCCAATGAAAAAAACAATCCTGTGTGTTTCTTAAAATTATTTGAGACGTATTTATTATTAAGCCCTTCACATAAACTTTGTTACATTGACGTGACCATATTGCTATAAACTATAAAGCATTCGAAAAAGGAAACCAAAAATCTAAATAAATCCACAAAAACATCTAAAAAGATAGCTTTATGTACAACCCTTTCATCATAACATACTATTTATTGTATACTTAAACTTCCTTAGGTTTACGTGAATATTTGACTTTTTAATTTTAAGCAAAAGCATCTTTTCGGTTTTTTTGCATACCAGAGTCGTGGACTTCCTTAGATTAACGCTAACATTAATTTTTAAACCACTCATTCCAGATCCCCGGACCAATGACTGGTTCCTCATCAAAAACCCGCTGCCAGGGCTCACGATTATTGGACTCTACCTGTATTTCACACTAAAATGGGGACCTCGGTATATGGCTGACAAGAAACCCCTTCAGTTACAGAAAACTTTAGTGGTTTACAACTTCATTCAGGTTTTGGTTAGCTGCTGGTTGTTTTACGAGGTGAGTGTTATTGGTTTAAAGGTTACTTAGATCACTTTTGCTTCGCTCGTGTCCCTAGGTTTTGTATTTTTAATTGAGCTTCTACTTATCACGCCAATCCATCACTCCGTTTCGACGTGAAAGAAGGACAAACAAACAAAGAAACAAACAAACACACTTTCATATTTATAATATTTAAGTATAGATTAACTATAGAAGTATAGATGTAGATGAAATACATTTTTTTGGCTGTATTAAAGTAAAATGTGTATTTAATACCAATAGAATTGACCTTTTAAATTAATAATTCTGTGTTAAAAATTCTTTCGGTAAATTGGTTGTTTGAGGAAATAAGCTCTGAGATGTATGATAAGTAGTATTGTATGTATTGTATTAAGCCCTTTTTACGTCCCACTGCTGGGCACGGGCCTCCCTTCTATACGAGGGGGATCTATAGTCCACCACGCTGGCCAAATGTGGGTTGGCGGACTGCACATGTCTTTCGAATACTTGCTAGGTTTTCTCAGACATGCAGGTTTCCTCACGATGTTTTCCTTCACCGTAAGACAAGTGGTAATCATGTTGGACAATGATTTGCACATGAAACTTTCAGAGGTGCGAGACCTGGGATTTGAACCCGTTTCACTCGCTTGCCCAAGCGAGCGTATCACCACTGGGCTACCACTGCTTACTTACTTAACCAAGTGAAATCACAGTATGATAATATGATTTTACGTATAAATCATTTTTTATGAATTTAAGAAATACCTAAGTGAAAATCTAACTATTCAATAAGATTTTCCAAAAAATATTTAATGTACAGATTCGTCTTAGTTACAATTTTATTATATGTATAAATATAGTCTATCTTTACCCGTACCAAAATCACCGTTAAAACTTTCTTAGAGACGAACTCGAGCGAAACCAGGTTGAGTTGCAAGTTAGTATAGTAAAATAATTAAAGCATTTTTATGTATAATATTCAATGTATGTAAATTTTTTATATTTAGTAAGCTAATTATGTTTAACATCGCTATTAAAATTATTATATTAAGTTAATGGCCGCAGGTATTTCAAACGTCAACATATATTTTCGACTGGTAGGTACCTACTCTTGTTCGTAGTTATTGCTAACTCGGCTTAAAAAACGCTGCAATAAATATATCGAAATACGTTTCATTAGCATACCTACATTTCTAGTATTTGAAATCAATATGGTGTATGTTGTATAAATAAAAAATAAATACAAACAGGATTGTTAGACAGACAATCTGTATATCTATATATAAACTAGCTGACCCGACAGACGTTGTCCTGTCTACACGTCTTTAATTTGAAAATTTCAAACTTTTTTTAATAAGCTAAAACATTCTGGACCATTTTGATGAAAATTATTATTCAAATTGTGAATCTAAACCATTCTCAGATCCCCTTGAACACACACAAAAAATTTCATCAAAATCGGTCCAGTCGTTTGAGAGAAGTTCAGTGACATACACACTCACAGAAGAATTATATATATAAATATGTATTATAAATGTGAAAGTTTGTGAGTATGGATGTTTGTTACTTTTTCACGCTAGAACGGCTGAACGGATCTGGATGAAATGGAGATAGATTATAGACTGGAATAATACATACGTTAATTTTTATCCCGGATAAATGTACGGTTCCCGTGGGATTGGTTTGTTTTGGGTTTCCTAGAAGCGAACTCGAGCGAAGCGAGGGTGAGCCGCTAGAAATAAATATATGAATACTATAGATATTAATTGTAATTTTTGCCATTAGCTTCAATCGTGTTGCAGGAACATGGTATAAATAATAAAATAAACTGGATAGTGTCAGATCTTGAAATTTCATAGCTTATGAAATGACTAGCGATGCCTCCTCACTTCGCATTCAGGGAGGGCTGGGGGGGGGGCGGTGTATATGGTACCACTTAGAAATTTACTTTATTGAAGTCAATTTAGCCAAATCATACAAAAAAAGAGATTTCTTTCAAATTAGTTAAAACTAATCGTTAATACGACGTATTAAACTCGATATATCATATACATAGGTACATCCTACTTCCTATTAATACTAGCGGACCCGACAGACGTTGTCCTGTCTACACGTCTTTAATTTGAAAATTTCAAACTTTTTTTAATAATTTTTTTGATGAAAATTATTATTCAAATTGTGAATGTAAACCATTCCCAGATCCCCTTGAACACACACAAAAAATTTCATCAAAATCGGTCCAGTCGTTTGAGAGAAGTTCAGTGACATACACACTCACAGAAGAATTATATATATAAAGATTATAAATGGGAAAGTTTGTGAGAATGGTTAGATGGATGGATGTTTGTTACTCTTTCAAGACAAAACGACTGAACGGATGTGGATGAAATTTTACACGGAGATTATAGTCTGGAATAGCACATAGGTTACTTTTTAACCCGAAAATGTTGTACCTGTGGGCTAGATTTGTTTTTGTCTAGGGACGAATCCGAAGCGAGGGTGAATCGCTAGTATATAATATACATGAAATAAATCTAAAAATCTACACTAAATCCGTGAACGTATAATCAGCCTACGCCTCAGCATCTCAATTTACAGCTCTCTCCACACTTAAACTTATTATTTTAATATTAAGGTCAATATAATTATAGTTCACAAGTTAAACCATTTTTCGTAATAACTTGCAAGAGAATTTAATGAGAAAGGTATCTACTTGACATTTTCTAACATCCTCTTCCGTGCTGAAGCAATCTTCGTGACTTCGCTTCTCGTTTACATTAACGCTACATATCGATAGCTTGTATCATTACTCACGTTTATTACACAAGTATTATGAAAACGAGTTGTTTTATGCGATTTTGTCTTAAGAATTAAGCAAATAACGCATTTAATCTATACATATAATAAAATTGTAACTAAGCCGAATCTGTACATTAAATATTTTTTGGAAAATTTTATTGAAATAGACATAATTATCGATACAGAGGCAGAATCTTTAGTTTTTAGAATTTTTGTCTGTCTGTCTTTCTGTCTGTTACCGCATCACAGAAGAACCACTTGAGGGATTTTGATGAAATGTGGTATGGTGAGAGCTGGTTATCCGGGTCAACATATACGATACTTTTTACCGCGGGAAAATATCTAATTTTTGAGAAAAAATACAAAAACTGCAATATAAGAGTATACTAATATGTGCAAAACCTAAGAATTTGGTTTTTGGTCATCTGAACGCCGGCGGAGCCGCGGGCAATGCTAGTAGAGTATAAAAACGTTTTTATGATTAGTTATATAGAGATTGTTTGACATTTTCAATTTGACATTTTCACAGTAAAAAAAATAATCGATCAATAACATAATATGCACATGTTTAATTATAATGCAATAGTTATTTGCACCTAGTGATAGTGTAAAGGCAATTATTTTAAATAACAATTTGGCTTTTAATAGTTGGTCTATTCTATAGGACTTTTAATATTATATGGTTATTGTCTGGTAGAAAACGTACAGAATAAATTAGGATCTAAATATATATAGACTCTAAGGAATTGTATATTATCCTATCCCATTAAATAATCCCTATAAATGCGAAAGTTTGGATGGATGTTTGTTACTCAATTACACCCGAACGGCTGAACGGATTTGAATGTAATTTAGCATTAAGATAGATTATAGTCTGAAATAGCACATAGATTACTTTTTATTCCGGAAAAATGTACGGTTTCCGTGGGATAGATTTGTTTTTGTTTTTCACAGTTTTTCTATTCCATACTAACAGTTAAAACGAATGTACTTAGGGACGAACCCGAGCAAAGCGTGGGTGAGTCTCTAGTTTTAAATATTTTTTTTGTTACCAGTAAATGTATACTTAGTTATAACCGCGTGACAGCAACATGGACTGTTTATTACGATGTAAAAATAACTGCTTTGTTTAATCAGTATGCAATATCTTTAGATAATGAAAAAGGTTATAAACATAATTTGATAGTTATATTTTTTTTCAGGGCCTCGACGCTGGTTGGTTGAGGACCTACAGTTGGAAATGTCAGCCAGTGGATTTTTCGTCGACACCTGAAGCTTTAAGGGTAATTTATGATTTATAATATAAATTAATAGAACAAGCTTTTGTCTGGCTTAATCTTGATGTTATAAGCATAGATAAAAAATTAATTATATATATTACATACAAAGATTATTTAATATTCAATCTTATGATATTAAATGAGCAATTCTTGTATACTATATATGATAAATTTATTTCGTGTATCTCGGAAACGGCTTTAACGATTTGGTTCAGATTTTGTATTTTGATACTAGTATAGTGTTATATGATCTGTGATTTATACAAGATTTGGCTTTTTAAGTTATCTATAGTCTTTTCTGATAAAACTCTTCTCTTCTTCTCCTCAAATATCTCCTCAAAACGTTGAGGGAAGCTCGGTCGCTTAATATAATAATAACATATGTATGTTAATCTACAGGTAGCAAGAGGCGTCTACGTATATTTCTTAGCGAAAATGACAGAACTACTCGACACGATATTCTTCGTAATACGAAAGAAGGAACGGCAGATTACCTTCCTACATTTGTACCACCACACCGTGATGCCCATGATATCATGGGGTGCTACGAAATACTATCCCGGTGGTCATGGGACCCTCATTGGAGTCATCAACTCGTTTGTCCATATAATAATGTACACATACTATATGTTAGCGGCTATGGGACCTCAGTACCAGCGATTCTTATTCTGGAAACGACACATCACGACATTGCAAATGGTATGCTGTTACCCATTTATATTTATTATAACTAAATCTAAAACTATTTTCTCAGATTTTTTGGTCATACGGATTATTTCGTATATTTATTTGCTGTAAGCATTGAAACATCCGAAACTAAAATACAAAGTAAAATCGCGATAAAATCCGAAATTATCCGGATCGTTTTAATTAAAATATTTAAAAATATGTTGATAATATAACATAAAATGTCTATGCATCAGACGATACTTGACAAGGGAAATAATAAATTGCTCATTATGTTTATTTCTCATTACTATCATCACACACTTATTAAAAACTATCGGGTGACTCTCGCTTCGCTCGGGTTGGATGGATGTTTGTTACTCAATCACGCTAGAACGGCTGAACGGATCTGGATGAAAGGGAGATAGATTATAGTCTGGAATAGCACATAGGCTAATTTTTATACCGGAAAAATGAACGGTTCTCGTGGGATAGATTTGTATTTTTTTTCTAGAGGCGAACCTGATCGAAGCGAGATTGAGCGCTAGTATGTATATAAAGCCAATAAAGTGAAAGTTTATAAAAAAAGATGAATTTCAAGCAGCTGTAAGTTAAAACATGCTGACATCTTGCGAAACTAATCGACATTAGAATGGTGTAATTATCGCAGATGCAAATAGACGTTCTCTTACAACTAAATAATTGTAGACACATATTCGCATATATAAAATTATACTTTCATATACATTACATTATACATATATGTACTACAATTTAGTATGTTTTTTCGATGAAACGAGATATTTTTTCACCGAAAAAATAGTATAACTATACACTGTATTCTTCCAAATATCCCCATATAGAAAACCATATCGATAGAAATTAGCTATATTATGGTTCTATTATAACAGTTTTTACGTAGAAATGATAGAGATATTTTCTTGCCGTAAAACTTGAACTGTATCATATAAAAAAGTGTTTCGATGCGTAGTAAGGATTACAAAACAAAAGAAGTTATGTTTGTATTATATAAACTATAAATACGTTGAACCGATTTAGTTGAAATTTGGTATGAAGATAGTTTGAGAATCTGGGAAGGACATGGGATAGTTTTTACCCCGGAAATCATCCCTTAAAGGCTTGAAAAGTGGGATGAAATTTTGTATGGGGAATCAATCGTTTTTCAAGTGAGGGATATAAAACTCATCATACCTATATAGTCCATCTATTCCATACTAACCGTTTGGTATTAGACATAATACAACTTAATCTATGAACTAAAATAAAGAATAAACTTTTTTTTATAAAATGAATAAGATGTACAATATTTTTTTAATTTGCAGCTCCAGTTCTGTATCGCATTCATCCATTCTTCTCAACTTTTATTCTACGACTGCGGTTATCCACGTTGGTCCGTCGTTTTTACTCTACCTAACTCCATTTTCTTCTACTATCTCTTTTATGACTTCTACTACAAAGCATATGGAAAACCAGGAGATAAGAAAAAAGTATTGAAACAAAATGAAGAAAATCATCATCATGATAAGAAATCAAACGGCATAGCTAATGGATTAAAAACAGAAAATGGTAAAGTAAATGGAGTTCTTAACGAAGGAAAGAAAATCGACTAAAACCTATATTTTGATTTATAATGTACATATTAATTAGAATTGTATATACAAATATATAACGAAATTTTTTACCCGCCGGTGGGTAAACGGAGTTGGTAAGAAACTTACCACACCAAAATATTTGCAAAAATTATTGAATCTTTAAACGACATGAGTAAAGCACATTGATTGCTTAAAATCAATGAATTAAACGTTATATCAATAAATAGTTATTAAAGTAACATATGTATATTGATACCAAAAAATAGATATAAGAAGTTTTTACCAATGTTAATATTTGTATCATTTTTTGGTAAATGATATTAAATAGTAGTGATGGTAAAAACTTTAAACGAAAAGAAAATATTTTTTTTTATTTCGTGCCATCAATTTGAAAAAATAAATGGTTTTTAATTCATTTTTCTATAGCTCCAAAATTCAAACTACAATTACTATATATGTAGCAGTTATGTTAGATAATTTTTCTACCATTCTGTGTGCGTTACTCATAAAATATTTTTCGATAGTCATTCTTGGTTACCAATTTGAAGTGGATTCAATATTTTTCAAATACAAAATAAAATTATAACTGAATGTAATATAGTGGTAAAGCTATATTGTTTTGGTTATTTTTACCAACAATATCTTAAGCTATACTTATAATTTAAGATGTGAGAGAAATATTTGTCATATTATTATATCAGATAAATAATTTCGATAGAATACTAACGTTTGTAGTGTTAGGACCAGTAACATTTTGTATATACAATAGTATTAGCTAGTTTTAGTTACTTTGCTCAAAAATTACCTTTTTCTTCATATTGTATCCTTAAGCTACTAATATCAAATATAATTTTAAAATTATTAATTATTCAAATTGTTTAAAAAAATATCCTACTCGTAAAATTGAAGTTGCAAAGGAAAAGGTTTTGGTCTAAATGGTCATTATTGATTTAAATTATATATGTAAGAATGTCTAACTGTGATTCCATTTTATTCAATGTATGTTAATTAAAGTTAAAGACTTAACTGAGAGTTCTAATACTCGTTGTTTAACAACTCTTGGCATGGCCTGGTTTTTTTAAGGAAACAACTATTCTGTCAATTAAATTTTATAATATAAAATATTAGAATTCGAGTCACTTGACTCTGTTTGTTTACCTCGAAACAGATATTATAGGGTATGCCAGCATAATTTTTACCCAAAAAAATGTCAAGCTTATGAATCTGGCAATTATTTTGTATTGATTTCCTGATATTTTAAATTTGCAAATATGTAGGAGTGATAAAAAGTTTTTAAACTTTTTCAATTATATTTTTCTTTTTAAATGTATGTTCCAAAATAAATTTTCCTTTATTTATATATTTAGTATTTTTTATTGATGGGTAAACAGAGAGAATGAAGTGCCTGTGTAATTAATTTCTCTAGAAATCCGTTTGGAAATATTGTGATCTAAATTTATCTTGTGAAAAGTAGGCTTTTAGGCCTTGTTTGTTATAGGTGTAGTAAAAATTGGTGCGGTAAAACTTTTGTCTTCCAAGACGCGTGGGGCAATAATGTATGGAATAAAAATATAATAAATTGAACTAAAATGCTATGATTGAACATTTTTTTCTAATAATGTAGATTTTTAAACTGTCATGGATACTGATATTATTATGGTTAAACGTGATATTTACCATGTTCACTGATTTACGATATTTTGGCGCTGTTGGAAACGGCATCTGAATCGAGTTCGAATCGACTTGAGTGATTGGCAACGACACAGATCATATAATACTAGGCAATGATAACAGACGCACAAAATGTATTAGAAAAGAGTATAGATAGATAGATATCTACCTATAATCGTATTATCACCTGCAAGAGCTTTACGGGAACTAGATGTAATAAGAATGAAAATGAAAACACGGTACATATCCCGTTTCGAATCAAAATATGATTTTTTCATGTTCAAAATGGAGTGACGAGTAGTGACTTTGTTTTATCAACTTATCTTTGTACAATATTCTTACATGTAGTTATTCTGTAATTATATGTTATATACAAATGTTATTGTTATATGCTAATAATACGTAACTGGTTTTGTATATTATAACTACATTATAATATTACCTTTGGTGTTTTTTTCTTCGTGATCCTTTACACAATGACGTCTATATGATACGTGTTTGTGATGACAATGCATAATTTTTAATCGAATGTCTCTTGCATATTTGAATTTTAATGGTTGTATCCAAGAAATAATTAAATCGGTAATTGGATCGTGTAAAATTTTATTTTGCTTAATACGATCGCTGCGGCTGTGATTTTTCTATACTTTCCATTCCTGCGGTACAAGATCTATGCACCTGGTAACAAAACTTTCATTGTGGCGGCACAAGGCTTATAGACCCTGTAACATTTAAAAAACTTAAATCCTTTTTTTGGCTTCATGTAAAAATATATTTGATTTTTTTGCTTTGAATATTAATAATAAAGAACTAATTGGCATACACCTGAAGCCGTTCGTTAACAACTTGTTTAGTTTAAAAATTATAGCTATATTTAAAATACAGGGTTTATGCACCCTGTGCCGCACTGAATATGGGAAGTCTGGTGGGTATTTTAGGGATGTGAAATAAAAATATCGAGTCTTCATTAAGGTTTAATATAATGAAAAAAGAAAAACAAACATGAATTAATATTTTTCAATTAAGCATGGGTAACAAAAGTTTTTTTTACATTGAACATATTCCGTTAATATTTTTTTTAACTTTTTTGTCAGCTTGGCGGCTTGTTAAAAAGGTTCGGAGTTTTTCGTAGCATCCAACATAATTCCTCTTCTTAACACCTTTTATTAAATTGTGTTTCTCAATTTTTCGTGCGGGTTCTGAAAAGATAAATTTATCAATTTATTTTTTATTTATATGTGTATATGTGTGCGTGGATTGGATGTGAACACATATATACATATGTGTACATGCGATTTCGGCTGCGTTGAAATTATCTGTATCATTGTCCTTTTTTGTAAAAGCTTTGATAATTTCCTCCATAAACTGTAGTTTTAGTAAATTTTTCAGGGTTAGTTAGTACGGAACCCTTGATGCGCGTTTCCAACTCGCACTTGACCGTTTTTGTCAACTTACATACGCAGAAAATGTTACTTATTTATAATAAAACAGAGAACAAAAGCCTGCCTACCTACGGAAAACGTAATTAGGTAAATAAAATAAATAGTAATGATAACTCACCTGTCTTTGATCAATCAATCTATGATTAGATTTAATATTAACCGCATCACTGTCCTCACAAACCCCGTGGTTTTTTTTTTCGGCACCTTTTTGTTGGTCCTGACGCCATATCGATGCGTGCGTTTCTCGCAAATGCAAGCCGCGCACACTAGCCGCGCGAAGCTAGCGCGGGGTGCGGTACCAGGTGCGCGGGGTACAAGGTGCTTCAACGTGATGAAATTTTATTTCTTCCGTGCGGTCCCAGGCTTATAAACCCGGTATTGAGGTAGGTACACCATTGGATTCTATTTAACAATATATCTTAGATATTCATCTCTTTCCTACACCGAACCAAATAGAAGTTATGCCTTCCACACGACAACGAAGTCTATACTTTTCTTAGCCGCACTGTAAGCGAGGCGGTTTACAAGATGTTTACACCTGGTATCGCACACAACGTGTTACTCGATTCAACTTGATAGATTTTATTGACCAATTTACATATCGATTATAATCGTAATGTAAATTGGCAAAAAAATAATTATTTATGTCAGTATAAAATAATAGCTAAAATGCTTGAAGTTGTTCATCTACTTAATTTAAACTGTAACATAATGCGTACACCAAACCGCTGAATCATAATCTATTCTTAACTAACTTTATTCTTAAACTAGCATTGCCCGCGGCTCCGCCCGCGTTCAGATGACCAAAAACCAAATTCTTAGGTTTTACATATTAATATACTCTTACTTACATTGCAGTTTTTGTATTTTTTTCTCAGAAATGAGACATTTTCCCGCGGTAAAAAGTATCCTATATATTGATTCGGATAACCAGCTATCACCATGCCAAATTTCATCAAAATCCCTCCAGTGGTTTTTCCGTGATGCGGTAACAGACAGACAAAAATTCTAAAAACTATAGATTCAGACTCGATATCGATAATAATGTTTATTTCAATAAGATTTAAAAAAAAATATTTAATGTACAGATTCGGCTTAGTTACAAGTTTATTATATATAGTATAGATAAATACGAAAGTTTGTATGGAAATTAATCATATTTGAAGCTAGAAACTTGCCAACCATTGCAATATAAATGTACAAAAGAACAACAAATTCATTCAATACAATCATCGCGTTCAATTCGTAATGCTATATAATCCATACTAATATTACAAATGTGAAAGTGTTGTGTTGAAAGTGTGTTTGTATGTTTTTTGTTTGTTTGTTTGTTTGTCCTTTCACGTTGAAGCGAAGTGACGGATTGGCGTGATTTCTTTATAGAAATAGTTGGAGGGCCGGAGAGTGACATAGGCTACTTTTTACCGCGGAAGAGCATCTAATTCCCACGGGAAAACACGTTATAATTATAATACAAAAAAATATTTATGATCAGTATTACTTAAAACTTGATATTAATGCTTTTCAATAAAATTAAATAAATACATGTTTTAGCATTTTCGAAATTCATCCTACAAGGGGGTAAAAAAGGGGATGATAGTTTGTGTGAAACTACCTTTTAAGAGATTTATTTGTAGTTTTAGCGCGAGCGAAGCCGCGGGTTTTGCTAGTACAGATATAATTATTTATCTTACAATTCGGTATCGGCCGACTAAAAGTTGTTTGAACCATTTAATTAGATTTTCACACAACTAACAGCTAAATTAGTATGTCTCTTCTCCCATGCACATTCACCGAATACTTAATTATTAATTAACTGCCTCAGTGTCTAGCATGTACAGCTGCAGATGATGAAGTCCTGGGTTCGAGTCCCGGGTCGGACCAAGTTTGATTACTGAGATTTTCTGTTAAGATATTCTCAGTAGTACCTAGACCGAAACTGGAAAGTTAACGTAAATTGAGCACATGTCGCGTCGGTCCTGCGCCTTAATTCTCACCGGTTGTGTCGAAGTATCGTCCCATCGGACTTTGTAAGTGATGGGAATAGAGAGTGCACTTGTATCTGCGCGAACACTTGTGCACTATAATATCTCCTGTATAGTCTCAGTGAGATTGGTCGCCGTCACCGAAATCGGTCGAGAAAATATCATTATTATGTTATGAATTAATAATAATTACACTCTGCATATGGACTTTATGACTACTTTCAATACGCTCTAGCAGAGTACCTAACAGACGCGGGATGGCTGTGTATAATCTTTATATTGATATATCACGAAGTTTTAATAAAATTAATTTAATTAAAACAACTGGAAAAAAATAACATAAAACACGTTTTCCTTATAAAAATTTAATAATTTTATTTCCTTATCACCAAAGAGTAATCAATCGGACTACTATTATAAATGTGAAAGTTCGTATGTTTGTATGTTTATTCCTCTTTCACATTTTGAAGAAATTCGGTACACAGATAGACCTAGGAGACCTAGGAGAAACAAATAAGCTACCTTGGGGAACCTAGATATATACCTGGACGAATATCTAAGCTATGTCGCATATATACTCGTATGTATGAGATGTACTGCGCTGACCCCAAGTGATTTGGGAAATGGGCAGGGAGAAGAAGAAGAAGATGTATGAGCAAGCGTTAGTCTCAGAAGCTGCAGCTTCAAGCAATTACAAATATTTATAAATTCTTTGTTTCTTTTTTGTTACTGTTTATATTATCGCTTCTATTCTGTCTGTCTGTTACCGCATCATAGAAAAAGCATTGAAGGGATTTTGATGAAGCAATGCTAGTAATAATATAAAAGGATAATACAAAAATATTCTTTTTTGATTCATCAAAATGCTAAGCCAAGCTGATTAAAAAACTAACATTTGACTGAGCAATTTATTTAGATTTTTCCCACAATAGATGTAAAATATAGCAATTTTACTAACAAGATTATACTAAACGATTGAATAGAGGTGGTATTGATCAATTTAACTTTGACCTACGTTATTGAACTACACAACAATAGTTACTTCGCTTCTCAAGCCATTGTGTAGAAGGGTCATTGAATGTAATTACTGTAATCTGTCCTTTTGTTTTTATAGGAATATTTAATTATTACTTCGGGAACTTTCATTCAATGATTATTTAGGTAATTCATAAATATGCATGTATCTTTGATGGGATTGGGGTTTATATTACAAAAAATATATTCAAATGAGTAATGATATATAGTTAATTATAAGTATAAATTCAAATGAATAAGAGTGGTATGAAAAAAAAAGATTATCAACCTGAACATTTATTATCTCATTTCAAATATTACATTTATCACTAGCAGTTCACCCTCGCTTCGCTCGGGTTCGCATCTAGTAATACAAAAACAAACCTATCCCACAGGAATTGTATATTTTTCCGGAATAAAAGTAGCCTATGTATTATTCCAGACTATAATCTATCTCTGTGCCAAATTTCATCCAGATCCGTTCAGCCGTTCTAGCTTGAAAGGGTCACAAACATTCAAACATACTCACAAACTTTCACATTTATAATATTTATACAGATAATAATTGCAAATTTGTACATAAATATATTTTTCTTTTAGATATAACATACCACAAAGAAAAAGGCAAACGATTTACATTTAAATAAAAAATAACTTTCAAACAATATCATGATAAAATAAAATAAAATTAAAATAACTATATTGATTAATGAAAAAATATATATAATATTTGAGATGAATTAATAAATATATATACTTTTGACCTTTAAAATGTCAAGATCAAATTATTCGATCTCGAAGGTCTGAATTTGACAGAGTACCTATTCTTTTAACATATTTATTGATTTTCATCTCGATTACAATGTCAGAGTAGCACATGATATATTGTAGTATACAAGTGAGTGTGCAGTCTCTCTCTTGAAAAAATGAGGAGCAGGACCACAACATGTTTATTTTATTTATTTTTGTACTATAAAATATATTTTAAATAAAATAAGGTTACAAAAGGTTGACAAAGACTAACTTATCTCTTTAAGAGATTTCTTCCAGAAACCCTTTAGAAGTGAGAAAATAATTTAATTTAGTACAGCATTAAATGGTATAAACTTAATATTCAAATATATTATCAACTAGTTATCATAATTGCACAAAAATAAATATATATGTATGTACACACATACATACAACCGAACATGTATACTATATACCTACATAATATATACTATACTTTATGTTTGATTTGATAAAAAGTGCTGTTTAATTCTAAATTTTAAATTTGTGAATGGGAGATCAGGCAGCGAGTTCCACAATCTGGCTGTCATAACAGAAAAATATTTTTCATACAATATTATATGTAGTGTGGAATCACAAGTTTGGGCAAATTGTCATAAGAACTCACTGTTCAACTCACTTTACTAATACAATTTACTTATTTCCTGATAAAAAATCCCAAAAAAAGTAGATAAAATTACATGGCCCAACCCAAAAATTGAACCCATGACTTCCTAATCAAATTATACGCTAGCCACTAAACCAATGATTCCCCCTTTTTTTTCTACAACGACACTTTTGAATAACTCCTAAAAAACAAAATGTGGATAAAGTTTTGAATAATAAACAATATTTTTCTATTATTTTTTATTAAATTAAATTAGACAAAATTGTTAAAAAAGCCAGATCAAGTCGCTAGTATAAAATACATGGTATTTCCTTAACTTAAAAAATAAATACATAGCATAGATACACAATGCAAATAATATTTTTTCCTATTGTCATTAATTTTTATGAAAGACAATTCAACTTAAGTTTATTGCTATTTAAATGTTCTTATATTTTAATAAATACCTATCTAGAAGTAGTCACGTTTTGTTGTAAACTAGCTGTTAGAGATTGATGAGTGTAAAAAATCCTTCGTCTGATCTCTAAATACTTCCTCTGTAATTTTGTAAAAATTGCATGAAATAAATGGCATTTAATCAGTAGCGTAACTAGCCTTTTTAGGCCCCAATGCTAAAAAATTTTAAATAAAATACGGAAATGTGGGACATTTTTTTCTTGCGGTTTTTTTTAAACTTCTATGAAGGCCGTCCTCAAAAAAATGTTTAGAAATTAAAGAATCGTTTGTGGTTCGCTTGAGTCCCCTTGGATGCTGGGGCCCCATGCGGCTGCATTGGTTGCATTGGCATAGAAACACCACTGCTCTCAATGATGTCAAACATTAAATTAAAAATAAAACATACAGTGTAAAATACTCGTAACACTTGCATTATTATAATCTTCTGTCATATTTTTTATTTAAATAAAATAAAATAATGATATAAAAACGTATACATATGTATTTTAGTTAGTATAATATATCTTCGATTCGATATCTCAACGTTCTTAATATTATAATATTTTTTATATTGTATACGTATAAGTATACATTATTCACAAAAAAATACATACATAATATGATAACATTGATGATAACATTTTAAATATTTTCCTTATGAAGCACAAGCTTTAATTCCTGGACGGGGATCGATTTAATTTATTGAAAATATAATTCTAAATACACAAGTATTTTATTATTAATATCATATTATGATGAATATATAACAAGTGATTTAATATTTAAAAAAAAACCAGTCGAATAGAGAACCTCCTCCTTTTTGAAGTCGGTTGAAAATACTTGTTTTTGACAGCTCTATATTATATACACTATTATTAATTTAAATTATGCTTTCTTCTCACTAGTTTTACTGACAATTCCATTTGCTGTACTATTTTTGTTACGGTTTATATAGCTTTGTCTGTAAAAATGTAAGAAGAGACATAAGAAAAAAGCTGTGTTACAACCTATAAAGGTAGCTACCCCTCTTGATGGTGGGCATTCAGAACGATTAACAGCGACTATATAATGAATTATGATGCACACAAACTGTACCTGTAACAGAAATAATTATATTTAGATTAGATTAGTACAAAAATCAACAAAAATTAAGTAAATATTCGTCTTAGGAAAAAACGTACTGACTACATTTTAGTCTGATTAAATCTATACATATAATAAAATTGTAACTAAGCCGAATCTGTACATTAAATATTTTTTGGAAAATCTTATTGAAATAAACATTATTAGCGATACAGACGTCGAATTTTTGTCTGTCTGTTCTGTCTGTCTGTCTGTTCTGTCTGTCTGTCTGTCTACCTGTCTGTCTGTTACCGCATCACGGAAAAACCACTGGAGGGAATTTGATGAAATTTGGTATGATGATAGCTGGTTATCCGAGTTAACATATAGGACACTTTTTACTGCCGGAAAATATCTCATCTCTGAGAAATCAATACTAAACGTTAAAACGTAACTAGGGACAAACCCGAGCGAAGCTAGGGTGAGTCGCTAGTACTAAATATGTGACGTTTTTCACGAAATGTTTAAGGTTTCTTTGTATTGACGAAAGATTGTCAATTTATGTCAAAAAATACTCTGAACCAAATGGGGTTCAGTTAGAATAGTTTTGAAAACATAGAACTAAATAACAGAGTCGTTGTATGGTATGTACATACATATATACTTAAAATAATTAAAAAAAATGTTAAAATCATATTTTATTAAAAGATACTATTTTCTTGACTTGGAAGTATAGAGGAAATTACTGGTCCGATATTGAAAATGATTTTTCTCTTAAAGCTACCTTAATATTGAGTAGTACAAGTTTTTTATTTCGAAATATTAAGTTTTATTTATAAAGGATTTTCGTATAATAAAAAGGTTACGAATATTCAACATTTTAAACAAAACTTTCTTTTCAGACTTTCTCGCAAATTTATTTTGATTAGGTAAATAAATATATTTTTTAGTTCAGTTAATAGGTCAAAAATAACAATATAGGTATGTAGACTGAAATTAATTTATCAATAGATTAGCGGCTCACCCTCGGGGGCGTCCCTAGTTACGTTTTAACGTACTCGTATAGTGTACATTTCTCAGCGATGAGATTCACGCAGTAAAAAGTATCCTATAATATGTCGGATAACTAGCTATCATCATACTCTGTCTAGTGATTTTCTCGTGATGCATACCCAGACAGACAAGCGGACTTTTATGTCGTAATAGGTTATTGTCTTTATACTCTACTTAAATTGTATTTAAAATACTTAAAAAAGGAAATATTTTTTTGTTTATTATCATTAAAAGTTTTACTTTTTTTTTAAATAAAACATATAACTTAAAAATCAATGACATTATTTATAAGTCCCGATTTTTAAATAATATATATTGCTATTTAACTACTGAAAAATCTAGTTTTGACTTAATATTAGTAATTTTGTTAATTAAATCAGTATTTATAAGTCGCGGTATAATGTACTCGTACATAGACGTTCTTTCTCCGTATGTGTTGTTTACCCGCTCTGTACACAAGCGTTTCCGCGCCACCGCTCGAGTATTCACAGAATGTTCTATTGTTTTATTTAATCTGTGGTTGTTTTTTTTGTAATGGTATATTTAAATTTATCATAAATGGGCAACACCTTGAAAAAAATTGTAAAAGCCGAGTTAGGGGGATGTAAGAAGAAAAATAGAACAAATCCATTTTTTTTTGTTTCTCTGTCTGCTTTCTGTTTGTACGGTCTAATCTCCAAAACGAAACTTTTGGACCGATTTAAATGAAATATTGCACGGTGATATCTTATACCCCCGGTCAACATCTTAGATACTTTTCATCTCGGAAAATTAAAGAGTTCCCGTGGGATAGTTAAAAAACTATAGTAACTTATACAGCTTAGTACACAACAACTTATGCACCTAATTTAGTAAAATTTGGCATGCTGATTGATACCTTATATTGCCAGTCAAACAGCAGGTTACTTTTTATCCCGTAAAAATGAACGGTTCCCGGAGGATAGATCTGATTGTGCTTTTCTCGCTAGTTAAAGGATAATTTAATTGAATGCGACACAATTTTTTTTTAATATTTTGAGTTGTAATTTATAAATTTGGTTGATATAGCTATTAAAAGTTCAAACATAACTACTGCGGCCATACTGGATGTATGAAACAGCTTTTCAAAAGTCAAAATTTTAATTTTAATTAAAATTTAAGACTTACCAACTGAAATTTAGTCATATATTTCTTCCAGAAGATATATTTAGCAACAGACGGTCCTAATGCTGCAAGTCCGTAATATGTGTACATGAAAACATGGACCAAGGAGTTGAAGAAGCCGATGAAGAAGAGAGTTTCTGAGGGCCAGTACTTCAAATAGGCCCATGTTCCTATCATCATAATAGAGTGGTGATAGAGGTGGAGGAATGTCACTTGATTATATTTCTTTCTTAACACGAAAAATACTGTGTCAAATAATTCGGAGACTTTCGCAGCAAAATATAGCCATATCGAAAATAATATCTGAAAAAAGTAAAATAAATATTATTTTTGTAGAATTCTAAAAAAAAAATATGGTCATGATGACGAGGTTTTTATTCTAATGTGGGTTTTTTCTTAAATAGTTTTAAATTGAGTATACTTGTTTAATTAAATAGTAATTATCTATACTAATATTATAAAGAGGCAGAGTTTGTTTGTTTGTTAAAATCTCAGGAACTACTGATCCGATTTGAATAATTCTTTTTGTATTAAATATTTATCATATAATGTACAGTCTATCTATTCCATATTAACCGTTGAAACGTACCTAGGGACGGACCCAAGCGAAGCAAGGGTGAGTCGCTAGTTTTATAAATAATTACTAAAATAAATTAAATAGTAGGTATGTCAGTAAATATTATAAAAGATTTTTTTTTCAGAGAAAATAAAATGTTAATACAACCATCTAGGATAGAAAAAGGGCTACAAATATTAATTCTAATCATATTGTATTTGTTTTATTTTAATAACAAATCCTTACCTCTTTTCTTTGACTGTCAGTTTCAATATTGCATGTTCTTGGTGTTATGCCATTATTCAATAAGTGTCGGAAGTACTGAAACAGAAATACAAATAAAAAATTATTTGCAAAAGTTTTACTTCCAAATCTATACATATAATTAAATTCTAAGCCGAATCTGTACATGAATTTTTTTTTGGAAAATATTATTGAAATAGACATTATTATAGATACAGAGGCTGAATCTATAGTTTTTGATTTTTTGTCTGTATGTCTGTTTGTGACCGCAGTACGAAAAAACCACTGAGCAGATTTTGATGAAATTTGTTATGATGATAACTGGTTATCCACGACAACTTATTTTTACTGCGGGAAAATATCTCATCTCTGAGCTAAACGTTAAAACGTAACTAGGGACGAACCCAAGCGAAGCAAGTGTGAGTCGCTAGTATTACTATATATGAAAACATTAAAATTGTATATTAATAATTATGACTAAAATTATTTCATCTATTGTTTTGATATACATATAATATACATATTTTAGTAATTTTGCTAGCTTTAAATAATATTTTTGTAAAATTCTGCGCATATAAAAAAATACAGCCGAATTGAGAACCTCGTCCTTTTTGAAAGTCGGTTGAAAATACATATTAATATTGCACTGAATTTCACTTAATATAAGAATACGATCTTATAATATAATACTTATATTGAATTCAAATATTTAAGTTTTTTTACTAGTGCCTCCCTCGCTTCGATCCGGTTCGTCTCTAGAAAAATTAAAATAATTCTTCCCATAAGAACCGTACATTTTTCCGGGATAAAAAGTAGCCTATGTGTTATTCTGATCTTAGAGCTATATTATTGTAAAGTTTCATTAAAATCCATTCAGTAGATTTTGTATAAAAGAGTAACAAACATCCATACATCTATCCATCCCGAAATCGAACCAAAACTTAGTACGAAGACTCTAGAAGACACCTAAGATGATATTCAAAATATTCACTTACTTTTTGTACCATATAGGCGGATAATATAACTTGGAGTGCATTATATAGCACTAGTCCAGAGGTCATTTTGAAAGGTTCTCTTTTATGCATTAGAGCAGGTCCAACCTTCATTACGAATAATAAATATGCAGCCAAAATCATCAATATAGGTCCTGGCGTCGACATTAGGGGTAGGTTGTCGATTTCTTCATCTAAAAAAAAAATATTAAAATTATTGTATTATAATTTCATATTATTAGTTTTTGCCTGCGGTTCCGCTTGCATGGTTAGTGGGATGATGGTAGAAGGATGGGGACCTGTGTTGCCAGGTTAAAATAAATCCTTGCCTTTCTTGAAAATCGGTCTATGGATTAAGTGTAAATAGGTAACACAAAGAGATTCTAATAGAGATACTATGTCGTGTCATATATACATACGTCTCATGATGAACTGAACTGTATTATTGGTTTATGGGGTCACAGAACGTAGGTCCTGATCTTAAGTTCCAGGTCGGCCAAGTTTACTCATTGAGTTTTTCTGTTAAAATATTTTCAGTAGTCTTAGTAGCAGTCTGGGGTGGGAAGTTAGAGGTTTTACATCCCGTGCCTTGAAGAACACATAAAGCCGTCGTTCGTGCGTTTTAACTCACATCGATCGTGTCGACGTATCATCCTATCGGACTTTTAAAGCGAAAAAATAGAGAGTGCAGGTTGTGTCTGCACGCATATGTAGACGATAATTTTCCTGCGAATTCTGGCTAGTCTCATTGAAATTTGCCACCGTGATTAAAATTGGTCAGGAAGGCAATATTATAAACCAACAAAAATTACAAAATCATTTAGAATTTTGTGCCTTTTACAAAATTTTATCTCGTCTCACTTTTACGGAATTCACTGCTCAATGATAACTTCATAATATGTTAGGGAAAATAAAACGTGTACAAAAATAACTCACATAATACGTTCGCAAAAAATATCATCAATTTCCGAAGTAATATGACATATATAGCATTAATACCAGAAGCAAACAAAAACTTAAAATACGTATGACTCAGCTGCATAGACATAATAATACTTTAATGGACATTGAACAATATATATATATATATAATATATAAAATATATACTAAAGAACGTTTGTGTGCTAACACTATTATACAAAAAAAAAATATTTTCTTGGGTCTTCCCAATGTGATCGCCTCAAGGCTATTTCAATGTTAAATAAAATAAGTAATTTTATTAAAAATAAAAAGTTAGAACTTAACTTCGACTATCAATAAGAGTGTTAGGTAAATACCCGTATTGATAAAGAATTTGAGTTAAACTTCTTCCTTATAATTTGCACTTATGATATTATGGGTAGGAATTGGCTAGAGTTTTGACTATCATATTAATAAAACAATTCATCGCACAGAAATCAAATCTGTAACCCTCTACATAGTAGATAATTTTACCGGTCAAAGAATTTTTATTAGGTACTGTAATCCGGCTCGGGGGACCACAAATTATACAATCCAATGCAACCGTGGGAGAAAGGCTCCATATATATTTACATTCTAACTTTTAATTTTACGTAGAAGAAGAGTTTTCCTTATAATAAAATGTAATCATAATGTAAATATATTGTTAAGAAACCAAACAATAATTTACAAGTATAATGAAAAGCGATTATTGAGGACTTTTATAATGTGTTGAAGCATCGTAAATACTACGAGTATTTAAATTATAATGCTTAATGAGATTGATGATGACAAAATATAAATATAAATATTTTAGTATCTAGTACATACTAACCACTTTTTGTGGCTTCACTCGAGTTTTATGTCAATTTAATCAAACATTTAGTAGTCTAAGTAATCAATTACCAAAGTAATACATAGAAATTATTTTAAGCCTTAGTGAAAAAAATCTTTACTTCTACTACATATAAGACACTAAAAACTAATATTTAGTTTTTTTGTACATAAAGTTTGGATTTAGCTATTATAAGTATATTTTTTTTTATTATAAGTATAAGTTTATATTTTGGCAATAAAAAGTATCTTATATATTGACGAGGATAACCCGCTATCATCATATTAAATGGCATCAAAATTTGTTCAGAATGGTATTTTTTGTGATGCGTTCCCAGATAGACAGAAGACAGTCAGACAGACAGACAAAAATCCGAAAAACTATAAATTCGTCCTCTGTATTGATAATAATGACTATTTCAATAAGATTTTCCAAAAAAGTTATAATTTTATTACATGTAAAGACTTAAAATTTCGATGTGCATCTATTCGTATTTCTTTTCCTCCGAAACGGCTGGACCGTTTTTTTGTTTACTTATTAAGCTAGAAAACATCCAAGTGACTCCACTTGGATATTTTTTTGCTGTTTTCAAATTTATTTTTTTAAATCATAAATAAAATTTGAAATTTGGGCAAGCTAATATCAATCGGGATAGTTAGCAGAAAAGACATAAAAACTTAAAAAAATAAATCCGACAAAAAAAAACACTACAAAGTAAAATATAACTTATTGGTAGTTTTCATTTACTATTGACACCTAATCAGATATTTTCGAAGTCAGTCTGCTTTGATTTGTATGCAAATCGGTTAATAAATGACGGAGTTCTGAGGTTATAAACATAAAAAAAACAGCCGAATTACGAACATCCTCATTTTTTAAGTCGGTAAAAGTAGTATTTTTTTTAAATAATCTTTATATATTGAACCGATTCTAAAAAAAATGTATTTATTGTGTAGAAAAAACAATAAGCATTGCACCTAAGTAAGATATACTACTTTTATAGACGTACAATTCTCATTAACAATTTTATTGCATAATGTTCTTTTGTTAAGATAATACGTACAAGGGGTCAATGTCGTACTTTGACTTGAACAAATCCTGACTACAATGGTCAGTACGTACATCCACCGATTACGCGAACCAACAACCTCATTAGACATCGTAATGCTTGGAATAGTATAAGTTATTTAGATTAGATTATGTTATATTATCCTACTTCGTATATTTTTAAAAGTATCCTATGCGAAAATATTTCTATGAACGGTCCGTTGCAGAATGAATGCCAAAACGAAACAGTTTTATTAAATACTATCGATTTACCCTCGCTTCGTTCGGTCGTGTCCCTCGGTTTATTTTGATTTTTTTGAGCGGAACCCTAATTCTTTTTCTAAAATAAAAGTAGCTTAAGTTGGTCCTTATAACATCAGCTATCTGCCAGTGAAAATCCCATCAAAATCAGTCCATCTGTTTCGGAGATTAGGAACAAACGGACAAAGAGACAGACAAAAAATTTATAAATTGTGTTTTTCGTATAATTACTGTCATATAATTTCATGACAGTAATTATACGAAAAACTGTTATTTTGATATTACAAACAGACATTTCAATGTTATTTATCTCCTTCTTCTTCTCCCTGCCCATTTCCCAATCACTTGGGGTCGGCGCAGTAAATCTTCTGTACTGCTGAAAGGATTTGACAAAAGTTTTACGACCGGCCTGCCTGACGTCAACCCTCCTTGGGAATGCTATTGTCTCTCATTGTCTGAATGGTATCGCGGAAGTCTTGTAATAATGATATTTATCTGTATAGATAATAATATTATAGAAGTAGAAATCAAAAATATAGCTAAAATACTTTACAGCTTAAACAGGTCCATATTTTCTAATATATACTGCCTCGGTGGTGTAGTGGCTAGCATGTACGGCTGCACACCCGGAGGTCCTGGGTTCGAGTCCCGGGTCGGGCCAAGTTTAGTTATTGAGTCTTTCTGTCTAATAAGTCTCAGTAACAGCCCGGAGTTGGGAAGTTGGCGGTGTTTCACCCCCGTGCCTCGGAGAGCACGTAAAGCCGTCGGTCCTGCGCCTTAACTCTCACCGGTCGTGTCGAGTGGTCGTCCCACCGGAGTATGAGAGTGATAGGAATAGAGAGTGCACTTGTGTCTGCGCGTACACTTGTGCACTATAATATCTCCTGCGCAGTTGGCTAATCTCAATGAGATTGGCCGCCGTAGCCGGAATCGGCTAGGAGAACATCATCATCATCATTTTCTAATCAACGCCACACATTATAAAATTACTTTGTAATACTGTTTACTATAAAATACGTACAAAAAAATAGAAAAATCTCAGAAATTACATAATATTATGAACATACAGCGATAGAAGTATACATATATTTATTTCATATGAATAAAAATTTTTGATCCCTTTAATATATAAGCTCAATGTATTTCATTTCTAACTTTCTAGTTCTATTATAGTAAAAATATATGTTTGTTTGTAAATTTTTTTGCACTAAAATATGAGAATTGTATAATAACTTTATACAAACTAAGCAGAACCTAATTAACCTTAGCAGAAGGAAATAAGCAAGAATAAATCGAAGGGCATACGTTGGGGTGTCATAAAACACTTTGTTAGTTTAATTCATACTTGCAAACAAAGTATATTAACATAAACAATATTAGCTTAAGGCAAAATGATACTTCTACGAAGTTTTACATACGCAGCTAACAGACAAAACACCACACATGTCATAGATCAAAATAAATTGCTTAGTATGTCAGTACTAAATGCTATCTATACATTAAAAAAGGCAGTGGTAGCCTAATGGTTACGCTCTCGCTTTGGAACTTCACTCAGTAGTAAGGCGGGTGCGAATTCCGGATTTCACACTTCTAATATTTTCATGTTCAAATCGTTTCCAACATAGTTACCACTTTTTTAAGAAAAACATTGTAAGGAAACCTAGCAAGTTTTCTAGCAAATCCCGGGTCTGGCACCTCTGATATTTCATGTGTGAATCATTTCCAACAGGATTACCACTTGTCTTTCGGTGAAGAAAACCATCGTGAGGAAACCTGCATGTCTGAGAGAATCTTACAAGTTTTTAAAAGACATGTGCAGTCCGCCAACGCACTTGGCCAGCTGAGTGTGGTGGACTATGGACTGATACCCCTCGTACTGAAGGGAGGCCCGTGCCCAGCAGTAAGACGTTAAAAAGGGCTGAATACAATTATTATAATATTTCTCTAATAATTGAAAACTGTAGATAAATCTGAATGCTAACGGTACATTAATAACTAGCATTGCCCGCGGCTCCGCCCGCGTTCAGATAACCAAAAACCAAATTCTTAGGTTTTACATATTAGTATACTCTTACAATGCAGTTTTTGTATTTTTTCTCAGAAATGAGATATTTTCCCACGATAAAAAGTATCCTATATGTTGATCCAGATAACCAGCTACCATCATACCAAATTTTATCAAAATCCCTCCAGTGGTTTTTCCGTGATGCGGTAACAGACAGACAGACAGACAGACAAATATTCTAAAAACTATAGATTCGGCCTCTGTATCGATAATAATGTTTTTTTCAACAAGATTTTCCAAAAAATATTTAATGTACAGATTCGGCTCAGTTAGAATTTTATTATATATATATATATATATATATATATATATATATATATATATATATATATATATATATATATATAATTAACATAGAAATTATTCTAACAACAAAGGATTTTTATTTTCTCAAAAATCTAACTAATAATAAAAATTTATTATATACATATATGAATACGTAAATTGTGCTTAAAAAATGCATTTAATTTCCATAATTTAATACGTACCGTGAGAAACTGATAGATTACATTATTCATTTGTTGAATAGTATTTATTAAGTATTAACTCTGTACAGGATGGAAGAAAAGTACCGGATATGGAAACAACGTACTTTAAAAATAATGAAGATTGATCTCCCTCTATTTTCAGTAATATATTAAAAAAAAATATGTAAATTTAGTTATTATTGTTTTTAAAAACAACGAGAATTTCCTTTGAGTGACACTAGATTTTTTGAATATTTAAGGTACATTTCTTCCATGTCCCGTCCTTCTGCTCCATCCTGTATAATGAAAAATATATAATACTAGCGACTCATCGTTCGCCTCTAGGAAAACAAAAACAAACCTATCCCACGGGAACCGTACATTTTTCCGGGATAAATGATGTGTTATTCTAGACTATAATCTATCTTTGTTCTAAATTTCATCTAGATCCATTTAGCCGTTCTGGCGTGAAAGAGTAACAAACATCCATACTCTACATATGGATTAAAAACGCAAAAGATTTTTCTTTAGTTAGTTTAATTTGTCCATCCTTCATGCAGCAACGTCATTTTTAACCAAGAGAGCTACGTATGTTAGTATTTTACATTAAATCCTGCAATATATATGTATGTGTGTCGCAGGAAAATTGTAAGATCTGTTGAATTATAATTTTAGTAATGAAATTATAACTACCCGGAGTTTTGTCAACCGCCTCCTCATCTTACAATGTCACGGAACGTAAAATAAATAATTTCGAGTGAAAACGATTGTCATAGTTTATCGAACGTTTATTGAACTTGTGAATAATAATAATTAAATGATAAATAATTAAATATTTCATTACTATTCATTGATTAATAAGTCTATGGTTCATGCTGCGCATCAAAAAAAAAGTTTAAATCTGACCAATCAGCGGCCGTTTCACTGTGAAACTTTCACAATTTAACGAATTTTATTATCTAGCGAAATTGTCAACATTACTTCATTAACAATATCACTGAATGTGCTTAGGAAAATTTTAATAGACCTAAAAATGTCCCGTGATATTGTAAGAAAAGGAGGCGATTGATTGGATTGATTTTACTAGTCTATAGGTACATATAATAAAATTCTAACTAAGCCGAATCTGTACTTGAAATATTTTTTTGGAAAATCTTATTGAAATAGACATTATTATCGATACAGAGGCCGAATCTACAGATTTTAGAAATTTTGTGTGCCTGTTTGTCTGTCTGTCACCGCATCACAGAAAAACCACTGGAGGGATTTTGATGAAATTTGGTATGTTGATAGCTGGTTATAAGAGTCAACATATAGGATACTTTTTACCGCGGGAAAATGTCTCATTTCTGAGAAAAAATACAAAAACTGTAATGTAGTATACTAATATGTACGGAGCCGCAGGCAATGCTAGTTCCATATATTTTTATTAACAAGTAACTTCTTAAGGATTTACTTTTCTTAGTTGAAATAGTGAATCTAAGGTATTTGAAGAATTTTATTATACCGGTGGTAGGACTCTGTCAAGCTTGAGGAGTTCGACTCGATGGATACTACCCCCTTATCAATGCCCCAAGCAACAATGATTGCATTGTTGTGTTCCGGTTTGAAGGATAAGGCAGCCAGCGCAATTACAGGAAAGAGGCATATCATCTTAGTCTTCCCAGTGACAACACACTTTTTTTTTTAACGTTGGGATATACATTTACGCACGAGGTGTGGGACTCACCGACATAGCTAGTACTATCCACTATAACCCAACAAAGCCTTCCTCGTCTTAATGGGGCGTCGCAGGATCGCTTACGCATTCAACTACAACGCCCCGAAGGCAGGTCTGCCGAAGCAGACCACAACAACCACGGGGTTGCTCCAAGGTCCACTCTGCTATCAGAGAAGTACCAGGAGCAACCCGCAAGGTACATCACCCTCCGAACTGGACAACACACCTACGGTTCTGCATTATTGTTACATAAAACCTAATTGCATGAACGGAATGGGCAACAGGTACCGCTTTCCATCAGGCTGCCTATTTGCTCGTTAATCACATACACTAGTTAAATCTGCGACGTTATTTATTGAGCAAAGCCGTCAAATTTCCGTCGCGGAACACTTTGATGCAAATGTGTGGGATTACTATATATTTATGTAGGATATGAACATAATTATTGAATTGATATATTGTAAATTAATATTATATTTGAAACTAGCATTGCCCGCGGATCCGCCCGCGTTCAAATGACCAAAAGCCAAATTCTTAGGTTTTACATATTAGTATATACTCTTACATTGTAGTTTTTGTAGTTTTTCTCAAAAATCATGTATTTTTCCGCAGTAAAAAGTATCCTATATGTTGACACCGATAACCAGCTATCACCATACCAAGTCTCATCAAAATCCCTCCAGTGGTTTTTCTGTGATGCGGTAACAGACAGATAGACAGACAGAAAGACAGACACAGACAGGCAGATAGACAGACAAAAATTCTAAAAACTATAGATTCGGCCTCTGTATCGATAATCTTGTTTATTTCAATAAGATTTCCCAAAAAATATTTAATGTACAGATTCGACTTAGTTACAATTTTATTATATATATAGAAGAGCAACTGCTGTATTTTTTTTAACTCTTCTCAGCAGAACTGCCTTCCGAGCAGGAGGTAGATTCTTCACGGACTTACGTGTTGACATTTAATTTAAATTTAAATGGTAAAATTGACGAGCCAAAAGTATTTGTGTTAGTTCTATTTAAATAAAATATATTTCATTTTTCTCAAAACAGACCGTGTGATAATTTTTTTCGTTACTTCAGTAATTATAAAGGAATTATTATATTATATGTAAATATTAATGTACATGCTTGTGTAGATCAAATAATAATAATAATCACAGTATATACATATTTGTCTATCCTGGAATAGAGCCTTGACCCTTAAACATCATTAAACATCATTATTTAACTATTCACGTGTTTTTATATTTTTTCAGACTCACTACTGTCGACTTTATTGGCCTGTAGGTAACTGTTCTATTTCATTTTATTCACAAACTTGCTAGATGCTCTCAGGCAATTTCCTCACAATATTTTCATTCACCGTATTACAAGAGCCCGCTTTTACTTGGTTTTCAAGCGAACGCGTTTCCCCTGGGCCACCACTGTTGTTAACTATGATCCCCCTTATGAGGTCAAGGCCCAGCAGTGGGATTTTAAAAAGGGCTGAATATATCTAACATTCATTTATTTCAAAAGTCATGTTCGAAACAAGGAATTACAGATATTTCTTATAAATACCTTGCCTTACGGCGAAGAAAAACATCGTGAGGAAACCTGCATGTCTGAGAGAACCTAACAAGTTTTCGAAAGACATGTGAAGTCCGCCAACACGCACTTGGCCAGCGTGGTGGACTATGGCCTGGTGGTCGTATTGAAGGGTGGCCTGTGCCCAGCAGTGGGACGTTAAAAAGGGCTGAATAGATAGACTTATAAATAAAATAATGCATTTCTAAAATTCTTAACACATTTCATACTAGTATATTATATGAAGTGACCTGAGACTTGTTTTTACAGCACGGATGACACTACGTAACTGAGATTATTTAAGTAAGTAATTAAATTTTTACTTACATTTGCTAAGAGTCAGGTCCCACACGGGAAACCGTAGTCCGACGTCAGACGACATGTTGCTTCAACTGAAAGGAAAAAACTTAATAAAGACAAAAGGCACTTATTTTAACTACTAATTTAAATTTATAATATTATATATTTTTATTATCCAAAGCCATCTGTTGAGCTAACATTTGAAGTGATAAAATGAATACACGTTAACGAGTAAAGTGATTCGTAACTTGTTTCATTAGTAAATTATTTCGTTGAATATATTATAATATTATGATCTAATTGAAGTGATTAGTAAAATATTTGATTATGCAATCACATGTTATATTGCTTTTTGGTTCTTTGTTATTGAAGATTGTACGTTCGATTCCTGGGAAAGGACAGATTTTACTTACATCTTATTGTATATAATAATTGATCAATTCTTATATTGTCTTATATTAAATTTATAATATATAAATTTATTTCGTGTGTCTCGAAAACGGGTCTAACGATTTGGATTTAATTTAAGGTAATCGAAGGTTTTGCTTTTTAAATTTATCTATATAATTGAATTTTCTGATAAAAAAAACACAATTACTATATCTTGATGTGTCGCTAGTATCTCATATAAGTATTTTAATTTTCGTATACAATTTTTTCTTATATTATGGAACTTATAAACATCGTCTTTCCAGATTTACAGATGACAATTTTTCATATATTATATAAATTTTAAGCTCTACCATAGAGTTGAAATTTTTCGCAATTATTAAAATAAGTGGAAATCTATATGTATGTCTGATGAACATGGTGAATTGAGTTCAACATTCCAATTAAGCTCCAACAATTTTGTAGAGTTGTCAAACGCAGGATTGTTTAGGTGAAATACGACATACCACCTATATATTATACGCCCCCTTGATTTCCTGTTCTTTATGTTTTTTGCTTTAATTTGTTAAAATTTAAACTTCCATCTTTTTTTTAAATCTCTATGTAAGAAACACCATACCTAATTACCTACTAACAAGGGCCATCCCTCGTGTAAACATTATAAGATAATATTTATGTTTTACTTCAATTTATCAGTGAGATTCATAATCCTAACTTTTTAAATAAAACTATCTTTTCGGATTATTTCGCGGATTCGTTTTGATTTTTGGTTTCGATTCAATGTTTGATTCCAAAATAATCAATAATATGACTGATTTGTCTTTACTAAGCAAAGTACGGTTTTATAAAGTACACAACTTCAGTTCTCTTACTACTCCTACTTACTTTTTAATATTTAGTATCGATTTATTAGAGATGAGATATTTTCCCACATCATCATACCAAATTTCATCAAAATCCCTCCAGTGGTTTTTCCGTGATGCGGTAACAGACAGACAGACAAAGATTCTAAAAACTATTGATTCGGCCTCTGTATCGAAAATAATGTCTATTTCAATAAGATTTTCCAAAAAATATTTAATGTACAGATTCGGCTTAGTTACAATTTTATTATACATATGTATAGATATTATTTACAAATAACATGAACGAATTGTGGCTAATTCGTTAAGGACAAATAATTATTTTCAAATATTGAAGTATGTATATGATTTTTAAAATTTAACGCTTTTATACATTCAATTTATGGTAATTTAATAATAATTTTAAAACAATAATAATTATTGATATTATAATACATTAACGCACATGTAAGTGAGATGACGAACGAGTAACAAAAAGGGTAATTTACATAATAACAAATTAATTTTTTACCGATTAATGATACAATGATTAATTTATCAGTAAATATAATATTTTAATGATTATTTATTATATTTTTTTACTTTCCAATGATTAAAGTAGAATTAACCTTAAAATTATAGGTGATCGTTGACCTCTATGAAATTGGACATCAGGTAACTATAAAAGTTAAGTCTAATAACTATATTGTACAAATATCAATGAACCATGAAAAAAACTATAGTATATTAGTATTTTGCGAATATGAATAATGATATTCCCAATTTCTGATTTCTATACGTCAAAGAAGAAGTGTTTTCATTAAAAAAACACGTGTTAAATTAGCCCCAAAATTATAGGTGTTTTAATTGTATTTTTTTTTAAATTTCATTGTATTTTTACTTCGATTTTGTATTATACATTTTGTTGTTATTCAACAAAGTCGAGTTTGTTACAACACTTATAACTCGAGAACTGCTCGACCGATTTTCATAATTTTTAATTTGTTGGATTTGTCTCCGCACCGAATAGCAGGATAACTAATTAAACATTAGAAATTTTTCATGTAATTTTTTTTCTGACTAACGCTTGCTAATAACTATTTATATCTATATAACGAACTTAGGGACGGACCCGAACGAAGCGAGGTTGAGTCACTAGTATTACTTAAAGTTGATAGCTTTTTTCTTTCTCAGGGTTTACATATTGCATAAGTTTTACGAGACCATGTTCTTGTATATATATATATTTTGATTAAAACCCATTTTAAATATGTAAAACTTAAACTTTTTACATATGTGTCGTGAAACAAATTTAAATATATAATTATAATATTAACATCTAATTTGCTTTTTACTTGACAAAAGCAAAATCATATTTATATTAAAATTTTGGTAAAAACGTGGTATTTATTGTAGGAATTATACGTCAATTAATTATATTTTATATTACGACCTTGACTGAATATGAACACACAAAAAACAATGATAAAATTAACATGAAGCTCATGAAATTGAATTTTCAAAGTTAAAGCTTTTAGTTTTTTAGCTGAAGACGTAAATAAAATATGTATATAGTGTATATGATGATGTTCTCCTAGCCGATTTCGGCTACGGCGGCCAATCTCATTGAGATTAGCCAACTGCGCAGGAGATATTATAGTGCTCAAGTGTACGCGCAGACACTAGTGCACTCTCTATTCCTATCACTCTCATACTCTGGTGGGACGACCACTCGACACGACCGGTGAGAGTTAAGGCGCAGGACCGACGGCTTTACGTGCTCTCCGAGGCACGGGAAATAGTGAATATATTGATCTTCGCGATTGAAAATTTAAATGCATTTCCCAACATTAAAAAAAAATGTTTTTTTATACATAGATTTCTTTCCAAACTTAAAAAATTATTTAGCGGATAAATTTTCAACATTTATCCCTTTCTTAGCTCTCACCTTCGTTATATGTATAATGATTCGTTATGTAAATATTCATGCTTCCTGACCCAAGTTAGGTCCAGCGTTGTTTATCAGTTGAGTGTAAGAATTGTGTTAAGTGTCAGAGGTGGACTAAAAATGTTTAAAAAATTCGAACGTTTTTTTGCCCAAAAAATAAAAATGAAAAAAATATATATAGAATTCTGTCAAAAACGAATATCAGGCCAATTATCGATAAATATGCTTTTAAAAACTTGGTTCTTTTTATAACAATTAATGTAACTAATAAAAAGTAATAATATATTATCCCCGATAACTCGAAAATACTCACTAGCATCTTATCAGCACTGACTGAATTAGCCTGAACACGATATATCTATTAATTATCTAATCAAAGTGTTCGTGGAGCTCGGTAGTCTGTCGTAACTATGTGGGTAGTATTGGGGTCAGTTTACTACATCATTTTAAGGCAGTTGTCATATTGAAAAAAATATGTTTAAATTCCAGCCGAATAAGTAAAATAAATAATTCTACAGCCCGTGAACTTATACACCCAATTGGAAAAGATCCCAAAGGTTTTAATTCTGAACAGATTTTCATGAAAAATAACTGAAGCTGTAGCAAATCAGATTTTTAATGAGAAAGATACATTTATATCCACAGAGCAACAACGCGATAGACGGACACTTAAAAATAAAGTAAGAAAAAACATTATAGACTTAACTATTTGGTCGTAATTCATTATTTTGAGATAATTGATATTTTTTTAATGCTGGACAGATTTCCATGAATTATATTCAAAGCTATACAAGTTAAACAAGTTTTTTAATGAGAAAAGAGAAAACAGAAAAATACACAAAAATAAAGTTAAAAATGGCATAAAAATAAAATTAAAATTTGTACTCGGCCTTAAATCTTGATTTTTGAGAGAGTATTTTTGGTAACTGTACTGTCAAATCATTTTTTCAGTGTACATTTGAGATAAAAATTAATCATGTGTATAAAAAGAGTGATGATATTATACAAGCAATTTTCTTATGGAAGTGGTATAAAGATTGGTAGATTTTTTGTGTGGTTTAAAAACCATTCTTGTAACTATATGTACAAAGGTTATAAAATTATTTTAGGTAGCCAAAGCGAGTGCATCATCATTATTTGTCTTTCGTAAACAAACCGAAGTTATTTAGGAGCATAGTTGTCATATATATATATGTATATATATATATCAATCGTTGAACAATAGTAGTTTCTTTTTCTACATGGAATCAGATTTAGTAAAAAGTAAAGTAAAGTAAATGGTGACCAAATAGCACTCTTGGGAGTTGTTTAATTGATTAAATTAAATTTAATTAAATTTATTAAAAATCTATTTGTCAATGATTGTAAAATGATATCTTATGTAAGCCCTCTTAGTATCTATATACATGTAGATACAATCTTATCTAAGCCCTCTTAGTATCTATATACATGTAGATACAATGCAAGACTATACAGACGTTGTGCAAATTTGTACACAATAATTAATATTCTCATTAGCTTGTCAATCTTGCAATTATGTGTGTAAGCACCTCAATTTACAGATACTGAAATGTTTATAACTGACATAATTTTATACATACACGAGTGATAATAAGTATTTATACTAATATTATAGAAGTTTTTAATTTTGGAAACTGATTACCCCCTAGGTAATCTCTGGATCTACTGAACCGATTTAGATGAAATTTGATAAGTATCTTCTTACCAAATTTCAATTTTAGTTTGAGACTCTGGAAAGGACATAGGATACTTTTTATCCCGGCAATCATCCCTTATGGTGGTGAAAATGGGGATGAAAATTTGTATGGGGAATCAACCTAGGGACGAACACGAGAGAAGCGAGAACGGTGAGTCGCCAGTATTCTTATACATACACAAACG